AAAGAGAGACCTCTGGGATCTCCCCACAAATGTTGTTACAGGGTCCCCCACAAGTGTTCGGAAAAGTGCTGACCAGAGCATACATGTTAGGAAACTACCTGTGGCTGGGAAAGAAGTAGCCCAAAGGATAAGAGGGAGTGGCACCTGATGCTCACATAGATGGGTTAAAGTTCATGGGACATTTAAGTAGAGTTCTCAGAAGGGTTATTTTCAGTAGTGGGGAATGATTAGCTCTCAACTAAATAGGGTTCTCATCATGCCTCACCAAATTTAAAAACAAGACCCAAAGGAATCAAACTATTTCCAAGTAACTGAAGTGCAAAGTCCAGAACAAACTGGAAAATTATAGCTATACCGAAATATCTACCCAAAAAGCCAATTCATAATGACTCAGATACAGTCAAAGAGACATGCAAAGAGGTGGGAAAACAGCTCATACTAAGGAGAAAAAACACTCAATTGAACCGATCCAGAACTTACGTAGATGTTAAGATTAGACGAGGATGATAGTAAGGCATTTATTACAACTGTACATTTTATGTTCAACAGTTAGGTAGAGACATGGAAGATATTTTTAAAAAGACTCAAATTTCTAGAGATGAAAACTAACATATGGGATGAAAACACACACTGGATGAGATTAATGGCATATAAGAAGAAAGGATTAGTGGACTTGAAGATGTTAACATTGGAAACTATGGAAAATGAAGCACACAGAGAAAAGAGTAACCCCCTGCCCTTTCCCCAATCCCCTCCCCGCATGAAACCAGAACATCAGTAAGCTACAGGTTAACTTCAAATGGCCTAACACGTATATAATTGGAGTTCCTGCAGGGGGCAGGGGGTGGGAGGGCAGGAAGAAAGAAAAATATATTTGAAGAAATAATGGCTGGAGAATTTCCATTTTTGACCAAAAGTAATACCCGAGCTCAACAAACCCCAAGCATAAGAAACACAAATAAAACTGCACTTTGGCACATCCTAAGCAAAACATGATGTGACAAAACTAGTGATAAAGAACAAAATCTTAAAAGGATCTATAGGGGAAAAATGTTTTAAAAAATGATGACAGCAGATTTCTTGTTGGAAGCAATTGAGATGAGGCAACAATGGAACATCTTTACAGTTTTGAAAAAACCAGCTGAATACAACTCATATTTTGAAAACTATTCACTGTTAAAACCATACAACAAATCAAAAGTGGGTACCCTATGATGAAATCTTACCTATATGCAATGTGCCAAAATACATTTATAAGTCATTATCCTCAGAGAAGAGGAAAAATCACCCACCAGTAATCCTCCATAGCTTTTACTAGCCCTCTCATACCAATATCAGTACTCTCATTTCCATTACTATCACTGTTTTTTAACTAAAGTTGGAGACATTTCACAGAGCTATAGCCATCTAAAGCCTGTATCACTGATGAGTTCTTGTATGCAGAGGCTATCATGGAAACACTCTACTCAGATCTATTCTCTGTGCTAATTTTTTTATTCATTTGTTCCTATGCCTACTCCAGATGTTTATTTTGTAGGTTACTAGAATAATAGTATTTTTAAGACTCTTCCTGTGTTTTGGAGTGGGAAGATCCTCTTGTTACATTCCTTTGTGTGTATTCTTTCAGTTTTGTTTCACAGACAGTTCATTGACTTGGTCTTATTTTAGATGCTACAGCTCCTAACCTGCATGTCTGAACCACCTCAAAACAGGCAGTAGCAGTTGGCAAAACGTCACAACCTATTTCATTTTCTCTTTTCTGTAACCCCATTTAAGCTGTTCCCCTGTCAAGACATGGTAAAGTAGGACTATGTCTACTTTTGCAAATTAAAGTCATCCTTTCTTCTGACCAAATTAATCACTAGAAGTTGGGCATTGAGACACTGAAATGAAACCGTGTGTACTGCATTCCTGTATAGATCTGATCAAAATCTCCCTGAAGGGCCTCTGGATCCTCTGAGATATGTATGGACAGGGAAGCATCAGATATAAACATATGGCAAAGGCTTGATGGATCTGATTTATACAATAGCATCCCCTAAATCCTCTGTGAATTAAAGCAAGAGTTAGAAAGCTGCAGTCCCAAGGGACCTACGACAATAGACACATGGAGAGTTAAAACTGACAAAAATAGTAGCAACAGATATTTAGCACTAAGTATGTACCCGTGTTCAAAACATTTTTGCATAATCTTTGCAACAACCCTGTGAAGTAGGTACCATTATCCTTATTTTACAGTGGGAGTAACACAATCATGTTCACAGAGCTCAAGCCAGAATGAACCCCATCAGTCTGACTCCCTGAGCCCATACTCTCAGCCACTCTTCCTTGGGGTCTCTCAAGAAATGGTGTGGGGGTAAGAAGGAGCACTGGACAAAGGCCAAACACATGATTAGTGCCTTCTCTCCTCACTCATTACCTCCCTTTGAACACTTGGGATGTCACCCACTTTGCCTACCTTATAGATCATTTTAATGAACAAGCAAGAAGTAATTTTACAAAAGAATTAAGTGCCATACAAATATCAGCTGTTACGGAGGGGGTGTAAAAGAGAGCAACATACAAGGGGGCTTAAGAAAGAGCAGTGCATGGGGAATAGGAAGGCAAGATCAATTGTCAGAAGTTTTGGTCTTACATAGGCAGAGAATATTTACTGGTGCCTTCCTCACTTGGCACTCTTGGTTGCTTCTTTGCACTCAGTTCTCAGCCCAAAGGATCTTGGCCCAAGAGTAAAACTGTTCATCTGTAAGTTCTCATTCCCATGTTAAGGGATTCATATAAATTGGATTACATAGCCTTTGTTCCACATAGGATAAGAAATGAAGCAGTCATAAAGATCAAGAACAAATTTGTTTTTGCACCTGTAATTTAAAAACTTAAGAAGATATACTGTGAGGAGTCTAAACTAATTGGCTAAGACATCTTAAAAACATGTGCCTTTAATTTTAAAAAGGATGAAAGAAAGAGGAAAGGAGGGAAGAAGGAAGGAAAAGAAGGAAAGAAAATACCCACTTTTTCTGTGAAGTAAAAAGTAATGGAAAGCTGCCTCTATTTTAATGGCCCTGAGAGTACTAATTTCTTTACAAGTTTTGCCAGAGCCTTGGCTGGTCCACCCCCAGCAGTAATGTACAGAGACTGAGTGAGCACATGTGTCCTGCTGTAATTAAGGCTGCAGAGCAGAGCAGCAGGTGCAAACTTCTCATCCTTCAACTTGACTCTTAAACTGCCTGTGCTCTTGTAACTTAAAGTCTCAACTTGTTAAAAGTGAGATTTGGAAGGTCATTAGTCTATAACAGGAGCTAGGCACTACAGACATTTCTTTAAAGCAAAATTAGAAACAGCTACCTAACACCTATCAGCCATTTTAAGATGTTGCCGTTTCACATTTTCCAGGGGGGAAAAACTATTAATTCTAAGGAGATTAATATCCACATGAGCATGGCATTGAAGCCAGACTGGAAGCCTTCTTTTCCCTTAAGAAAAAGCCCTTCTAGTAACAGAGTCCCTTGCCCAACCCTCTTTCAATGTAATTGAGGTGCTTAGAGATTTTCTTATACAAAGGGCTCAACCATCACTTAAGGTTTAGTCTTATTTTCTTGTTAAAAATTTATCTGCAGAAGAATTTGAATTGTAGTCACCTTCCTCTAAAGAGTTGAGGCAGCAAAACCTCTGTGTAAAATAGTTCCATTTAAAATGTTTCAATGTGATCCTGCCAGATCCTAAAATAATGATAGCTTAGAAAGGCAGACGTGGCTTTGGGTCTGAATGATTTTTATCATACTTTACCTTTTCATGGGGTCAAAATAAAGATCAGTGAAATAAACGTGTACCAAGAAAACATACCAACATACAAGCAGTGTGCTCCTGCAGGAACACCCAAAAGAAAGGGACAATGCCTGGGGAAAGCTCAGGATTTTATTAGGTATAGTGACATGACTTGTTTGGCATAGAGGTTCTAGCATTGGCAGGGGAACCAACTTTTCCTTTCTGAGCACCAGCAAGGCCTGTGCCAATTGTAGAATTCTTTGCAATTTTTAGCTAATAGGGTCTCTGCCTCTTCTTGAATGCCTGCTCCAGGAACTAAGAAAAAAGACTTGGTTAACAATGGCTGTCAGAGCCAATAGAAGAGGATTTCATAGCTTATCTCCTAGAGTGGAAAAGACCCCTGTTGGCCAAGGGCAGATGCTGCAGACCTTGCAAGGACACAGCTAGTCTGCAGTGCTGTCCAAGCCCAGCTGCTAGAATTTTGTAAATTATTTATCAGCTATGGCTATAAATTAGAGATGAATGGAAGGCCTTTGGGCCTGATCTTGGATATACTCCTTATTAATGAATTTCAGACATTTTGTGCTATGAGAGTTTTTTATAAGAGGACTGAGTATTCTCTTGTATATAGGAATGACCCCATGCTATTACTGTTTTGCAGACTGTTCCTACTTCAAATTCTGCTCTAAAAAGGGTTTAGCAAAATCCTTTACTAGGAAAAGTAAATGTAGTGAATTCAACTTAATTTACCTTACCTTTTATATCCTTCTGTCATAAACACTGGATCCACTTCCCATTTCAGAAAGGTTGAACTTACCTCTCTTTTGGCCATCAGCAAGCTTAACTTGCTCATGGTTATGCCAAGTGTCTATAACTCTCATATAAACATTAATATATATATATATATATATATATATATATATATATATATATTACATGCATACATACACACACACACACACACAGTTAGGGTTCTCAAGGGTCAGATAATTATCCAAGCTGTCAGGCTTACCTTCTCAGTGAAAGAAGTTACTCAGCATCATGGCCAAAACTTGCTGCACTTTCATGAGCACCAGGAGATGGGAAATACAAGGACACTTAAAAATACCAAGGAGCTTGTGTACCTTGGAATAAGTACATGCAACCTCAAGATACTGTTCATCTGTACACTCTCTGCCAGTCATCAGTTTCTTTATCACTCATGCACACAAAATCTCATGACATAAGACAAGAACTTTTGCTCATATTTTTTTTAATGTATCACAATGAGCAGGAAACATACTTGATGAAATATTTTCAAAGGAGTATATTCAATTACCATCTACAATCAACTTAACTATGACAACAAAGTTTTTGTGACAAATTTTTTTTTTCAGTTTGAAAGTTCCATGTGGTTCTGTTTGTTAGTCTCCATGTATTTTGGTACAGTTCGAGATCAGCATTGTTACAGTAACAAAAAAGCTAACAAGACTACATTATAGAAAAACACCAAGAACATCATTTTTGGTTTCACTTGCTCTATTTTTTTTTTTTTGTTTTTTTGTTTTTTGTTTTTTGTACATTGCAAAGGCTGTTCATATACCTCTTCACCTCAGGGTCACGTTCATTTATGCTTTCTTTCCTACCCAAACTTGCCCCCATCCCTCCCCCCCCCCCCCCAGAAAGTAAACAAACAAAAAAAAACTAGTCAAAGCTTTGTTTCACAGTGGGCAGTATCTCAGCGCCAACAAACAACCAACTCAATTTATGCTTCTATTTAAAATGTTTTAATTTATTTAAAAAAAATATATGTCCATGAATATCAAGTGCACTGGCTTGGGTCACTGCCTCTCTCTCCTGCAACTTCCTGCCATGCCTGATAAACTCAGGTTTAAACACATGCCGTCTGTTTTACTTTATTTTCAATCATGTAAAACTTTGGCCACATTCATTTCTTTAAATAGCTTTTAATTAAAAAAAAAAACTTCCTAGATTTATTAAACTTTTCTGTGTGTGTGTGTGTGTGTATTTCCTTCTTAAGTTTCTTTTTGGAAGGATGGAGGAAGGATGGTTGAAATAAGTTCCATTTGGTGGGTTCATATGGTGCTATGGCTGAATGGTGTGTAGTGCCAACCCACACTTTGGAATATTTGGAAAAAAAGAACAACCAAAGTATGAAGTGTCAATAGAGGTGAAGAACTAATTTAAAAAGTGAGTTGAGATATCCTATTCAGCTACCTACTATGCAACAGACAGGAGTTAAACTCTCCTAGTGAGACCAATCTAAACAGTTGAGCATTGTAGTGAATTCATGCTTTGTAAATGGTACCGGTCACAGCCAAAGTGGATGTCAACCCACAAACATCTAGCTAGCTCATACTTGACCTCTAACTGTCACCATCACTGACTGCTTTGCTACTTCTGAGTTAATGTGGAGAATTATTTTTTAAATGAACACATATGTGGATGGTAGAGTTGTAGAGGAAAGCATTGAGTGTGCAACCCACTCCAGGATGAAACAATCACATAACCCCTCTGAGAAACACTGGTGGGTGGAAGCATGCTTAGCCAATCTACCCAACCACTCGCTGTTACCAAATACACCCACAGGTCAAGGCATGGCATAACAAAACACTGACAGTCACTCTGCCTCACAGAGGGAGGATGGCATAGTAGCTCAAAAAACAAAACAAAAAACAAAACCATTGTGGAGGGGGGTAGCAAAATTTCAAGGAAATGAACTTAAAGTTGAGGGAGGAGGAAAAGGGATAGAAATTGCACTATTACCAAGCAATATCATTTTTGAAAACAAAGTTTTCAGAAAAACCTAGCAGAACTTGACAGGTAAAGCTAGTGTTAAATTGTTAATTGGTATCACATAGAGAACCCAAAACAAAAACAATTTTTTTATCTATATGATACAGACACAGAGTAACATACAACAGTTAAATGGCAAAAAATATATATATATTTCATAGAGTTACAAACAAGATAAAATAATGGAAAACAAAAAACTGTACAACTTTAAAATTTAAAAATGTTCATCTCAAACACAGGGAGAAATACAAGAATTCTTGTTAAAAGAAAACAGTTTGTTGAAACAGCAAATGTTTTTGTGTACTTGTTTTTGACACCTTATGCTACAACTGGATACTGGTATGAATAGTTAGATGGTACTCTTTAGTATTTCTACTTAAAAAATTAAAAAAAAAGAATTTGCACTGTGCATCAGCCTAGTTAGAAATATGTACAACAGTTCAGGATCTACTCTTTCATTAAATCAAAAACAAATTCATAAAAATAAAATAGTCCCGGCTAAAAAAGATAAAGAGAAAAAAGAAAAAAAGAAATCCATTTTCAGATCTTGGAATGCTCCAGTCTTTTGCAAAGTCGTTGAGTGGCTTCAGCACTGGGGAAAGAAGCCCGAAAGGTGACCAATGGAACCTGCATTCACAGTCTTCAAAGTTCCCTTTTGAAACATAAGGAAGAGAATGAAGGGGAAAAGGATTTCACACTTTTGGGTAAGGGGAGATTGTTTCTGTTGATGTTTGGCTATGAAAGTGAAACAGCAAAGCATCTATTTGTCTCCAAAATCTACGTTTTAGCAGCACAAAGTTTTCCTTTCAAAGTTCAGACCGTTGTTTTAAGATGAGAAAGGGTGTATGTTATGTTGTGTTTTGTGTTACAGGAATACAGATATTAACATAAATACAAGTGCCTCGCATACGGTTCCTTTTTTGCTCTTTGTACATTGCTATCTGCTTCTTTGTTGGCTGCACTCTGGATCACTCGCCGCTCAGACTGCCTAACACAAGGACAAAACTTTGAAGTAAAAAAATGTGTCTTTTGGTATATGGAATTGTCATTAACAGCTGCCTCTCTGCTTGCAGATGAAGCACATAACAACCTGGGAATCTTTTGTTTTTACTCTTTCTTTTATTAAACTAAGTCTTGTTTGTTTAAATCAGAAACAAATTCTCAAGTAACAAGAACCCTTTCCCTTTTTTCTGCATCAGCAGTGAAAGGGTGTGTCTTTGGATTTTATTTAAAGCATGAAATTTCTTTTTCTGAGAGGAAAGAAAACAAAAACAAAACCCCTAACCAAAAACTTTTTTAGAAAGAAAAGCATACAGCCCAATTACACAAACCGAAACAAATGCTTTAGTTTAAGAAAAGAATATGTGAAGCATCTACCAAACAAGGAGGAAAAGAAGGGATAAAAGGGAAAGCTAAAGAGGAAGGATAAATAAACAATAAATGGCACAAGGCTTACAGACATAGGTAACTAGAATTATATGCCTTTAAAAAGTTTCAACTCCCCAACCAAAAATAATCTGTGAGGATCCTAATGACCCCTAGAACCTTTTGAAATTCTTTAGTTTTATAAAATAATTCTGTAGCTCCCTCGAAGAAATGAAGGCAGCTACCTTAAGTGGGAGATTATAGGGTGGGAGGAGGAAGGAGAAAGTGGAATTAAGGGACAAAGGGGAGAAAAGCTTAGGCGAATCAACGGATTGCAATCTATCTGCTAGGAATGAACAAGACAACATCAAATGAGGAGCTGTCAGCTGGACCATACAAAAAGCTAAATGTACACAAAAGGTTTTTTTTTTTTCCTTTTAAATCTACCATACTGCTTCAGTTCATTTCCAATGCAACAATCTACTCAACACCAAAAATGGTCATATCTATCATAAATACAGAAAGTCAGTTTTTAAAACTTATTTTTTTAAGCTACAAGTCCTCAACACTCTGTGTGTGGGTTTTTTTTTTTTTTTCTGAAAGTGGGAGTGCTTAACTTTTCCCCTTGAAATTGGCTTCAGCAGAAAAGCTATCCTTTAAATCCCCAGAAAGCTAAAGCAGTTCACATTGTTTTTCTCGAATACTTTCTGCCCGTTTTTAAATTAACAAAAAAAATCTTTTCTGGAACAAAAGAAAAACTGAAAAAATAATATATTATAAAACAATGATTCTGAAAACAGAACAAAGTGTGAGCGATTGACCTGAGAATAAAAAGACATTACATTTCTTTTTTTCTTTTAGCAAGCCATTGGTATCTGAATGCTAAGATAGCAAGAAATTTAAAACTGTAACAAGGTGGACTGCTTTCCCATACAGTGCATGCCGGGCTCCTCTGTGCTATCAACATGGGGCGTTTATTGAAAAGAGGGCAAATATACAAGGGGTTTAAGCTCCAAAGACATTAGGGAGGCCCTGCGGACTTCTGTTTCCCAGACCAATAGTACCTTCAAAAGGACACAATGTAACAGGGTTAAGGTGGTTTTTTTTTTTTTTTTTTTTTTTTTTTTTAATATTGAAAGAAAAAAGAAAAGACAAGAATGTAAAATCACCGGCATAGATAGGTATATGGGAAAACAACCCACGCTTTTTCTTTTTTTTCCTTTTTTTTTTTTTTTTTTTTTTTTTTTTTGGTTAGAAGCTTTGGAATTGCAGTTAGTCTATTTTTGAAATTGGTTTGTTATTAATCTTTTTTATTTAAATTCATTTGTTTGTTATTGTTCATCTTCAAAGCTTACAATCTGAAGGTGTCCGTTCCTACACTGGTCAGACCACTGTCCTTGGGGCAGCTGGGGTCTTTGGGACCCTCCACCGGGCTCGCCGGTCCGTCGGACTTTTGGCTGAGATCCGTGTCAGACTCCTCCGAATAGTCGTCTGTTGGCATCGAGGGCTGAACCCCTGAGGTGCTGCATGAACTTGAGGTAACCGTTGAAGATGAGGAGAGAGGAGGAAAAGAAGGGGGCTTCGCGGCCGAAGCCCGGGAGACCACTTGCGGCCAAGACTTCCTGGAGGCGTGGGGGGAAGCGGAGGAGGAGGAGGGGGCGGCGGCCGACGGGGGAGGGGGGCTGTCGTTTGAGTGAGCGGCAGACTGCGAGGTAGATGCGGTGCTAGGATCGGGGAAGCAGGCAGAGTGAGGTAATAAACTAGGGTGCTCTTTGGCGTTTCTTGCTGCTCTCGTGATTGTTCTGTGTTTGTGCAAGGCCGACTCGAGATGTTGACTCAGAGCTTCCTCCCCACAGAGCGCGCTCTCGCACGCCAGGCAGTGGTACGAGCCGCCGCCACCACCGCCGCCACCGCTGCCGCCGCCACTGCCGCCGCCACCCGTGGGGACGTGAAGCACCATCTCTTGCAGGTTCACCACAGACTGGCCGAAGAAGCAGAGGGACTTCAGGTGACTCCTTGCCGCCTCCTCGTCACCGAAGCCCGCCTGGCACTTGCGGCAGACCAACTTGTACTGCACCTTTGGAACAATGAAGGGGTCATAGAGGGAGTCCGCACTTTTGCTTTCTGCTTCTGGCTCTTCGGGGGGTTTCGGCAGGAGGGGGGACACCTCACGGGGTGCGTTTTTCTGCTCTTCTGGTTTGGGGGATTCTTTGGCAGGGTCTTTGTCTGGGGAAGCAGCCCCCTGGGGGACTGGGGTTTGGCTTGCTTTGGGCTGCTGCTGCACTTTTTGCTGCTGCTGCTGCTGCAGTTGCCGCTGCTGCTGCTGCTGGATCGCCTCCTGCAGACTCTGCTGGTATTGCTGGTACTGCTGCAGTAGGGAGCCCGGGGACAGCCCCATCAGGGCCTGCGACAGTGCAGGGCTGTAGGGGAACAGGCCTTCCATGCCATACATAGGCTGCAGGTACCCGCTCTGCAGGGCGCCGGGGATCTGGGGGGCATAGTAAGGAGAGAAGCCTGGTACAAAGTAAGGAAGGAACTGGCTCGTGAGCAACGCTGTGGGGTCCGAAGTCAAGGCTGCCTGCAGGGCCTGCAGCTGCGCAGGGTCCACTGCATACTCCATGGCGGGCAGCGGGGCTGAGATCGTGGCTGTGGCCGCTGTGGGGGCCTCTCCTTTCTCCTTCTTGGGGACAGGGAGGGGCTCCCCTTTCCCTTTGTGTGCCTTTTCCTTCTCCTTGACCTTCTCACTGTCTTTGTCCTTGCGCTGCTGTTGCTGCTGTTGGGGTGGGAGCTGTGGTGCAGGTGGTGGCTGGGCTGCGGGCGGCGGCGGCTGCACCTGTAGCTGCTGCTGGGGTTGGGGGGGTTGCTGAGGGGCCATCGCCATGGTGGCTTGTGCTGGGGTCGGGGAGCTCAGCGATGCTGAGGACGGTTTATTTGGTAATCCAGATGTGGGGAGGCCAGGGGAAGGAACTGTTGTGCTGGGCAGACCCATCAAGTTCGGTTTAGGAGACGTTAAAGCTGAAACGAACAGAACCACATGTCAGTCGGGGGTGGTGAGGCTGAAGCTCAAGATGTCTTATTTGTGTCACTGGCACAAAGTCTGAGATCTCAAGGTTTAAATCCTAAAGATCCTCTCAGAACCACCATTTTCAATAGAGGTGTCTCACCTTGTATTCTGATCAGTACCTGACTCTGAGTCAGCTCCCCGATTTTCCCTTTCAGCTAAACAACTTCTAACACCTTCCTACCACAAGTGCCACACCCACTAATTCATATTTTCTTTGGTGAGTTCCCCAAACCAGCTGGTTCCAGCTGGGACCCATTTGAACCAAAGGCCTTCATGAAAGCTCCACAGAAATAATATAGCTAAGTGACCACACCAGAAGTTGTACAGAAGAGAGGAAAAGAAGAGAGCAAAAGCAAGAAACCTGGCCCAAGCCCAAAGCCCATGTGAACAAACACATGTTCCTCTCTGACCTCCATTGCTGTAGCAGAATGGGCATGTTAAGAGGGCAAAGAGAAGAGCTATGGGAAGAACTAAAAACAATCCATTTAGGGAAAACGGTCCCATTACCTTGGTTCAGCTACTCTGCTTTAACAAATCTTTTGAAAAATGTAACCATCTATGAATAGGATTCTGGAATTTGCTGGAAAAATGGAGCATGCTGTCTTCGTACTCATTTGAATGGCATGTACAAAGGCTGCAGTTGCTTGAGAAACCAGCCACAGGGAGAGGAGAAAAGCAGTATCAGAAATGGTAGGGCCCAAAATGTTGGTCCCACCGCTTCCTAAGACATGGCAACCTAGCCCTGCTTATGAGTAGGAAAGGTCTTTGACCATGTCACCAGGCCCACATGGGTTACAGCCCCATCCACAGTCACACTCTACCTGTGAAGCCTTCCCCCAACCCAGAGCCGAATATCCTCCCTCACCCATAGTTCTCTCCTGGTTTGAGTCTGTCTTTTGTTCCAGGGTGATGGAAGACATCACTGCTACTGGTACATCAAGGTGGTGGTAGAAGAGGACAGCATTGTGAGGAAGGGCGACCAGGTGTGCTGAATGAGGAGATGCTGAGAAGAATTCACAGGCAGTGGACCTCAGATCATTACATTCAGCACACTTCAGAAACTAGACGGTATTCATCCCTTTGTTTCAGAGCGTACCACAGGTAAAATTAAACCCACAGCTCCTCACTATTTCATCTGGACCAACCTAGGATTGGGTGTTCTATAGCACAACATGGGCCTTGTAAGAAAAAAACACACGGAAGTGCACACCTGGGTGAAGACGATGTTGACTTCACAGTAGGGCAGCATGTAAAAACTCAAATTTCAGACGAAGAGGACAAGGTTGCCTCAAGCTGTCAATCCCAGAAAAAGATCCATTAATGTTTGGAAAGCCAAGGAAGATGCTTCCCTCAGCTTTGTGGAATAGCATTAATCTATTCTTTCAGAACAGCAGAAAGGGACGACTGAAATTAAGTCATCCAGTTTCCTCAATGCACAGAAGGGACTGAAACCAGAGAGATATGTGTGACTCAGAAAAACCCCGTAAAGGTTCACTGGTTAAACTGGCACAAACAAGATGGAGAGCAAATGGATTATGAAGTCGACAACTTAGGACGCAGCTCTTTCTGTCTACTTACAGGCAACAGGCCTGCTCCAAGTTTTAGGTTGGAGTCAGAGCCAAAAGATCAGCAAGGCAATGCAAAAACAGCTAGAGATTTCCTATCTCTATGGCTTCAGGCTTTCAGGAGAAGGATCCAGGTTAGAAAACCTAATGTAACTAATATATCTTGAATAGAAGAGAAAGAATTTTAAGGATCATTTACGGAACGCTTGCTATATTTACCAAGCTCTGCTAAATATATTCTCAGAATAATTCTGTGGCCTCATTTTTTGCTCATCTGTAAGATTAGAACCAAGCAAGGCCCTTCATCCCCCTGGTACTTGTCACCCAACTCTGGAGTCAAATTGATGCAGTATGGATTATGTTTGACACAGAGCTGCTGTGTGGCATTACACCAATTAACTGTGCAGAACCTCAGCCTTCTACAATAGATTGTTGTAGGGACTAAATGAAAGGTCATTTGGAAACAGCTTACCATTGGGCCTGACATATAAATACAAGTTTGTTCCCCCATTCCAGATCCAGTGCTCCTGGGAGCTGTGGTACAGTTAGGTGGTGGTAACTGGGACACACCTGGCTGCCTCTAATAATTAACAGCATATTTTTCTATCTTGAGTCCACTCTTAGTGGTCATAACCTGAGCAGCACTAAACATATACCTGTTGACTGACTGGCTCATATTGAGTGTTGTGGAAGGAGCACATAGCACTGGGAGCCTGGAGGCCTGGGTGGGAGCTCTGGCTCCTACCCTAGCTTGCTGAATGGTCTTGACCTCTCTGGCCCTCAGTTTTCTCATCTGTAAAACAAGGGGAATAGATCAGACATTCTGATTCTAATTTTTTTCACATTATTACGAAACGTTGGGCCATCCCAAGCCCTTCTGCCAAGGTCCTAGGCTGCAAGGGTAATTCAGTGCCTAGACACTTCCCATAGCTTGATTCTTGGCTTATGTCTAGTTGGCTTTAGCATAACTCTGCGACATTACTTGCTAACAAACATAAGCAATGAGTTACACATCTTAATGCTTTCACTTTTTCAACCCCTGGGAACAGGGACACGTTTTGAAGGCAAGGAGGCACTCTGAAGGGCTCTCCTTTGGTAAAGGTCCACTGGTCAATGTAGGCCATGGGGGAAACTTGCTGACTTGTGCCTAAGTTTCACAGGATCCTGGAGGTCCAATTTAGGAAAGAGAGCTGGCTCCAGAGAAGACAGGTGAGGACAAAGGAGGAGGAACAAGAGAGGGGCGCAAACTATCAAACTCCCTATTAAGGAGAAAAATAAGAGTACCAAGTATATGTGTGAATTAGGGGACTATGGGGAGCAAAGAAAGAGAGATGGGCAAAAGGAAATGAAGGGGTGCCTGAAGACCCCTAAAAATGACCATTAATGTTTTTTTGTCTCTCTGGAAGATTCAGAACCATATTGCCCAATACAGGATTCCTGGCCAGTGCATTCGAGTACAAAGGGGGTCTCATTAGGAACTGATAGAGCCACTGTCGTTCTGGCTAGATAAGAAGACCAGGAGTAAGGATCCATATATAAGAGTTTCTTCCCGATAGCAGTTCTGCCAGAACAGCTCTCTAAAAATGGGCAGGAACCACAGGTAAGGATAAGGACTTGATTTAAATTTTCTTGAACCAGTTTCCAAAGGGCACAATTCAGAATTAGCTAGGATACTCAAATGTCTTCTATTTTCAACAAATATCTACATGGCAGTGGCATTTTCACAAAGACTGACTGGAAGGATTTAGGATGAAAACCTCTGTCTTGAAAATACCTCAGGATTTAGGATGCCAGGACCCTCAAGTTCTTCACTATGGCACACACCCTGGTGGTGCTACTCAACACAGGAAATAAGAATGATTTCAGAGAAGACTGTTCCTACCGGGGTGGGGGGGGTGGTTCCCATCCCTGAGATTGGGACATCATAGAACCATGTACACCACAGCACTAGGGAGACTCAATGAAGGGGACCAGAAGTTTTGTTGCTGTTAGAGAAGTAGAAAGGGAAGCTTTTTCCTATCTGCCCAACATTCTTAGGATTTGGGTGGTAGCCACAGAACAAAATACTAATGGGGCAGCTATTTAATGCTGTAAGAATCACCTAGAGCAGAACCCACCTGTGTTGGATGGAGTAAAGCCCGGCAAAGAGGGGCTGTTGAGGCTGGGGAGCAACACAGGAGGAATGCCCTGGAGCGTGGGATATGCTGTAGGAAGGTTGAGAGCCTGAAGAGGGGCATTGTCAAACATCCCTTGCTGCTGAGCTGCCAGTCCGAGGACCTCATTGGCCTTTTTAATCCGGTCCAACTCTTGTTGAGCCATCAACTGACGTACAGTGGCTGGGTCAAAGTATTCTTTCTCCTTGTCCAACTGGCTTCCAATGGTGTCTTTAACTTTGGAGATATGCTGTTGGGAAAAGATATGGTCACGTACAGACAGCCTAGCGCTGTACTTGATGCCACACAAAGTGCACTCTGTTTTCGGTCCCTCGTAACTTGTTTGGTTTATACCAAAATGCTTAGCCATGCTTAACTTGGACTTCTTTTCTTTTGCCCGGGCATTCTGGAACCAGACCTGAACAACTCTCTTTGGCAGTCCAATATCATTGCCCAGGACCTCACACTCTAGCATGGTGGGTGTCCTGTAGTCATTAAAGCATGACTTGAGGACTTTGAGCTGCAGATTGGTCATCTGAGTGCGAAAACGTTTCTGCCCTGGCCGATCCCCACTGTCTCCAGATTTGCCTGCTGACCCACTTGCACCAGGACTCGGGGAGCAGGGGTCTGCAAGGCTTGAGGTTTCACTATAGTCCACTGTACCTTCATTGTCATATTCCTTGCTGTAAAAGCTTGGGGCTGGACTGACCAGACCCGATGACAACCGATCTTCATACTCAGACATTGCCATCATGGCCGCTTTGGTCAACCCTTCATTGGGTGCAGAGGAGGATTTGGTTTCAGTTGCTATTCCCGTTGCACTGTCATTATCTGCATTGCCCTCGTCTCCTGTAGTGGTATCTGTGATTGCTGTGTTGACAGAGGAACAGTCGTCATTGTCCAGCTTGGTTTGGTCAAAGTTTAGATTAACTGAGGACATGGAGGGGCTTTCAAAGTCTTCAATCCCTTCCACCTTGATGGAAGAAGGGCTAAGAAGAGTTCTGGGAGATAACTCCATGGTTTTACTCACAGGTGAGAGGGGCACACCTTGGCCATCACTACTGCTTGGGGGTAGGTGGGAAAAGCTGGTTCCATCAAAAATATCTCCTTTCATCTGAAGTCCCCCATCACAGTCTAGGAGCATTGCAGACAGAGTAAGGTTGTAGCCAGCTCTCTTGGCTTCATGCCAATGACGGGACCGGATATGAGCCTCAAGGGCAGTCTTGGCTTTGAAGAGTGCTCTGCAAAAGGGGCATCTCCTATGGGCCTGGGCTGGGCCCACAGCCCGGAACTGTCCTTTCCGTTCCCGGGCTCGGGTATTCTGAAACCAGACTTGTACCACACGTTTCTTTAAGCCCACCTCATGCGCAATGTGATCCAACATCTTTCGAGTTGGATTGGAGTCTAATAGATACTTTTGGTACAGTATTTCTAGCTGTTCTGGTGTAATAGTTGTCCTCAAACGCTTGTCTCTCTGAGGTTCTTCTCCTCCTGTCCCACTGTCATTTTCTCCAGGGCTTGCACTGGCCTTTTCCTCCAGCTTCCTCTTCAGAGTGTTCATTGTGGAGGTCGGAGTTGAAGGAGAAGTGGCCGAGCTGGCTGGAATCTGAGGTATGGCCCCAGAGAGCAGCTGGCTTGCCAGGAGTGGGTTACTAGGGTCAAACAGCATGAAAGGCATATCCAGTGACCTGTCCAAAAACTGGGGGTGGATGAACTGATTCTGTGCACTCAGAAAATGAAGCTGCTGATGCTCCTGCCAGTGCTCAAATGATGGAAATGCCAACTTACATTGGTCACACTGGTAGGGGATTAGCTGAGGAGGTAGGTTTGCCAACTGTTGAGGAGTCGACGTGTGGAGGGGCTTGAGGGGCAGGTGGGAGAGCTGGGAAGGACTGGGGCTTGACTGGGGTAAGGGACACTGAGGTGGGGGTGCTTGTGGAGGAGGCTGTGGCAACGCAGCAGGGGAAGTGAGCTGTGGGAGCTTTTGCTGGGCTGTGTTTGTCTTCTGCTCAGGCTGGTCTTGCTGCTGCAGCTCTGCCTTTGGTTGTCCTTGCTTTTCTTGGGTTTGGTTTGGCTGTGCACTGGGAGGTTCAGCCTGCTTTGGTTTCTCATCACTCGCCTCTGTTTTTGAACTAAAAGTGGCCAGTTCGTCAGCCTCTGCCGTGAGCTGTAAGAAAGCAGAGGAAGCTGTGTTGGCCGATGATGCTGGGGCGCTGTATGCCTGTGAGGGCATTGGGGTGCTGCAGGAGGAGCTGGTGGGTGTCAGGATTTCCATGGCATCCATGGAATCCTCATTTTGGCTGTCATCCTGCCCCTCCTCATCCTCATCTTTGTAACACAGCTTCTTCTGATGCTTGATGAGATCAAAGATGCGCTGAAACACCAGGCTACATTTTTTGCACTGGTAGTTCAAGTTGCTTGTTCGAATATACCTATCGTTTGTAAGCTCGCGCCGCTCTCCATCTTTGCCCTCCCCCTGATTCTCATAATTTTTCCTGGCCTTCTGTCGGGCATTTTGAAACCACACCACTATGACTCGGGTTGGAAGGTTCAGTAAATTAGAGAGTTGCTCAAATTCATCATCCTTTGGGTAAGCATTGGCATCAAAGAAATCCTGTAGGACTCTCAGTTGGTAATCTGTAAACCTTGTTCTTGAAGACCTCTTGCTTCCCCAGTACTCCTGCTTCTGCGGTTCCGGAGAAGGGGGCCGGGAGTCAATCTTGAGCTCCTCCAGGCTGGTGATAGGAGGATTGCTAAAGTTGTAAGGGGAATCCTTGTTACGCTGCCGCTCTTTGAAGAGGGTGTTTCTGAACCAGTGCTTGATCACCTTCTGGGGCAACCCAGACTTGTCTGCCATTTCTTTGATCTGCTCTTCACTGGGGGAGTTGTTAATGTCAAAATACTGTCGCAGGACCCGGAGCTGGTCATCTGTGATTCTGGTGCGAGGCCTTTTGTTCTGTTGCTGGAGCAGGCTTGGATTGAGCTGATGCTGGTACAGCTGGGCCAGGTCTGCAGGCAGAGGCTCCACAGGTCCAAGTTGAGGGGGAAGCTGAGCCGGCAAGGTCTGCAGTGGCATCGTCTGCATCATCAGCGGGGAGAAGATGGGCAGCTCCATGGGCATGGAGAGCTGGGTGAGTGGCACAGATGGCTGGGTCGGTGCGATTGTCGGTGAAGTGATGGGCGGGGCCGATGCAGGGATGGCTGGCGTGGAAGCTGGCTGAGGTGGTGCTGCAGGAAGTGGGGGTGGAGGAGGGGGGGGGGGGGGGGGGGGGGGGGGCTCCGGGGTCGGGGGCCTCAGGGGGTACAGTTTATCGTAGTGCTCTCGGTACTGTTTAGCAAATCTCTCTAACTGTTTAAAGGGAAAGTAGTTTTGGTGAACGTGCTCTTGATGACTCTTTAAAATCAAGATGTTAGAAAACAACTTGCCACAGGAGTCACACTCCAGCTTTTCCAGGTTCTCTCCCTGCTCAGTCTTCCCATTCTTCTTCTGCACCTTCTGTTTGTTCTCGTTGTACTGAATGACCAGCTCAAAGCCAAAGTTCTCCAGTAAGGCCTTGGTGGCGTTCCCTCTCGCATCTGAGGCGATGCGCGGAGGGAGCATGGAAGGCTCGGAACTACCTGCCGGTGCTAACTCTTTCTTCTCTTTAGCCTTCAAGGCATCCGGCAGCGATTCCTTGGGTGCTGGGTTGCCCTCTCCCACCTCAGCACTGTCCCTCTCTCTCTGGCTTTCTTTTTCCTTTTCTTTGACGATCAGTTTGTTTTTCTTTTCGGGGTGCTGGCTTGGCTGCAGAAGGGCCGAGTGACTCTGGGACAGAGACAACTGGCTTTGCTGCTGCTGCTGTAGGATCTGCTGGTGGCTCTGCGGCGGGATCTGAACCTGAGCCTTCAGATCATCCAGCAGGCCCGGGCCCGTCCCCGTCAGCGTCAGTGCCCCGCTGGTCACTGGCAAGCTCACCTCAGGGTTGAGCTGGAACTCTGCACTGGGGATGTAGAAGGGGAAGAGGAGATGCTGCTGCTGCTGGAGCTGCAGCAGGGTCTCTGTGGTCATGGGGAAGTGAGGAAGGAGGGTGGGGTTGAACAGCTGAGACTGGATCAGGGCAGCCTGCTGCTGCAGCTCCTGCTGCAAGTGAGCTTGAACTTGAGCCTGGGCCTGGGCCAGTGTCTGTGCTTGTTGCTGCTGCTGCTGCTGTTGCTGCTGCCTGGATGCAATCATATCTGCTAGCTTCTTCCGATTTGCTTCCTTGGGCTCTGAAGGGGAAGTGATATTGGCACCGATGGGATTCCCCAGGGGCGGCATCCCTACGCTTTCAGCGGGCACTTGGCTCAGTAAGTTGGAGCTCGGAGCAATGCCAGCACTGCTTGGATTGGTGGTGGTAAAGGTGTTACTGCCACTGGTGCTCACAGGACTTGGGGTGGAGGAGCTCAGGGAGACACTGCTGCTATTCCCAGTCCCATTGCTATTGCCACTTGCAGCCTCCAACTTGGCTGCTCGGGCCTTGGTTTGATGCAACACAGACCTCATGTGGATCTCCAAAGTGGAACTCTGGCTATAGGCCACATTACAAGTGTTACACTTGAAAGGTTTGTTGTCTGGGCTGCTGGTGGGTTCGGGCTGACCAGTTGCCGACTCTTGAAGGGCTCTCTTCAACTTATGCAGGTGGGAGACAGAATTGTAGTGCACTAACAGGATATTTTTTTGAGTGAAGGATTCCTTGCAGACGGTACACTTGTAAGGGCGAGAGGGGTCTAGAAATTTTTCCATGGTGAAGTTGGGGCCTTTCCTGAAAGGTAGAGCTCTCTTTGGCTCTGAGCCTGAGTCTTCTTGTACCGACCCAGAGTCACTGCCTGTTGGGCTCTGTTTATCTTCCAAATCACTCTCTTCCTCCTTGTCTTCCTCAACAATTATGGTGTGGTCCTCGGCCAGGGTAGGGTCTCCCATTGCCAGGAGGTCCCCGTTGGCCAGAAGGCCACCATAAAGCTGTTGGATGTCGGCCTCACTCAACTCCAGGTGGCTTGTCTCAAGGTGTTTTTTCAGAGCCTGGAAAGTTCGGAAACTGCGCTGACAAAGACAGCACATGGTGGCAGCTCTGATCACGTGGTACTGAGAATGGAGCTGGAGCTTTTCAATGGTCTTGAAAGCCAGGCTGCATTGATTACAGCGATACTTGTACACATGGCGATCTGACACAGGCAGCTGAGGCCGCTTGGCATGAACCTCATTGAAGTGGGTCTGAAGAGTGGCAGAAGTTTTGAAAACCTGGTTGCACCCCTTCTTCCAGCACAGGAAGCCTGAATCTTCTCTCACAGCCCCTGGGTCAGCAGGAGAAGGTTTCAAATCTCCACTGTGCTCTGTGCTTACAGAGGGCAAGATGTTCTTTCCCAAATCCTCTGAGGTTTCTGTAAAAAATAAATAAATACATACCAATCCCAATGATAAAGAAAGCTTTCTTTCAAAGATGGCTCCTACAGCTATCTACCTAGCAAGTCCTCACAAATAGAATCTTCTCATAAAGGAAATACCCAATTGGAACACAGACTGTCTCCATACAGCTCCTGCAGAGAGTACATATTATAAGCAAGTGCACACGAACAGAGGGGAATAAAAGGAAATACAAAAGTTTCACTCATAATAGGAATGTATTGTATCATAGATCTCTTATACAACATTCAGTTGCTTGACTCAGCATCTTGAATTTCTCAAGCATGGGTTTGAAGGTTACTGATCTTAGACTGGATTCCCCTTTTACATGGACCTGAACTGTAGAATATGTGAATTAATGCCATCCTACGTTGGGGGAATTTAAGATAACTGCTGTCCCATTGTAATACAAGAAATTTTGGAATATTACTTTTGACTGTCACCGCTATTTACATTAAAGTGGCCAACTATTAAAAGATGTAACAATTTTTTTTACACCCATACATATTCTGACCCTTTATTTAAAAAAGTCAGCTGTCTACCTTCTAATATGGAAAAATCACAAGGGAGGAAGTGGGCCAGCCAATAATGTGGCTGAAGTCTTCCCAACTTAAATCTTAGGTGCTGACAAGAGGTGAAAGATGTAGGAGAGCCTCATAAATGGAGGTCTAATGATCCATCTAGCTTGGAACCACCATGGGCACCAGCATCCATGTCTTAAAAAACGTTCTTTCCAAATGCACCTCTACACTGGGTCCTAAAGCAATCCCAGAAGACTCAAAGAACTTCGTGCAAAGGAAGCTCCTAAACAGACAACAAATCGAGTGCCCCAAAACCACTCACGGGGGCCAAAACTCCCTAATAATTAAGTCCTCAGAGAACAAATGCTGAACGGCTTAGAATGGCGAGTCATGCATGGGTCTATTGACTGAGTCTCTGGTTGTTTACTTCCTCAATGTATGGTCTAAGGGGACATGTGTCCACCAAAATCCCACTGGTTCTCACCTGATTTTCTCTCTGTTTAAACAATTTGAACAGTGTACAAATACATGCCAGGAGTCAGAGTATAAGTGCCCCTCATCTCTTGATCAATTACATTAACCTTAGGAGTACTGTAAAGGATTCTTGGCACTCTTGCTCAGTGAAAATTTTGACCCAACATGTCATTTTCTTTGCATTTCTAGGGGTTAAAAATGACACTAACCAGGCTGCTTTCCTGCCTCCTCCAGATTGGAGTTCCCGTCTCGATCTGGAACAGCTGCTGGGAGGAACATGCTGCTGGGCATCACCATCTCAGGGGTGGTCACCTGAGAAATAAGAGGCAGAGAAATGAGGAGAGTCAAATGGAGAGGAAAGAGACACAAAACAGGGAAATGTGTAAAAATTATTTAATAAGCAAAATTAGCCCTCACCAGTGTAAAGCTAGAAGTGTCACTTTTCATAGCTCACTGAAGATTCATGTTTATTAGACAAAGCTCACATCAGTCAAAAGTGTTTCTACGGTTACATTCTGGACATAATTAGCAGTGCACACTTGAAGAATAATCTTATTATTAATATTTTTCCTTTATGCAGAATTTTGACTTTGATCACTGACAATGTTTTGTCATGGGCTGTGAAACTTCTTGTGCAACCAATTAGGTAGATAAGTTGAAAGGCCCACCTTAAGCTGCTGAAAACATAATAAGGGCCCTAATTAAATCATACCTAGTAAAGTACACTGTAATCTTGAAGCAGGGAGCATTGTAGTACTGTTTTCAAAATGTATTCAGGCAAGAAGAGGAGGGGAATGAGAGCGAAGGAAAGGGTAAGAAGAAGAGAACAGAACAAAGAGAAGGCTAAGGACACGCAGACACATTGGCAGATCCTCCAGGAAACATTTTGTAACCCTTTAGAAGCTAGATCAAGTGCAAACGAGCATTTCTTATGACTCACTTCAGCCAGGATTTCCTTTGGAGTCTTTGCTCGAGGTACTCAGAATCATTGGGAAGCTCTGGCCAGTGTCCCAGCCACACAGGGTGCCTTGCACAGCATTCTATACCAGGGCTGCACCACCTTGACCGTGGCTATTGTTTACTAATATAGCAATTGCAGAATCCGCCTGGATCAAAAGAGCTGTAATTTTAGATCAGATCCTCAGACACTTCTCTAGGCTTCTCTGCCATCTGGCTGGAAGTTTGTCTACATAAGTTATCATTTACCAGACATTAATGTGATAAGCAGCCCTCAAATCCAACGTAAGGATAAAACGTTCTTGATTTAAACAGAATATCCCTTTGCCTGCTACAGGGTGGAAAGGTAGTAGGCGAAGATATTGCTACATGAATTAGAAATTATCTCCTGTTTGATGACAGCCTAAGAAATGAGCTGAACAGAAACTGGAGTCACACCCCTAGCCTTTCTACATGGCATCCAGCCCTACCTGAAGGAGTTATCTTCCCATGAAACACAGGTATCTCAGGATCTTTACTTGCTGTTGCAAAGACTGGAACACCTATATTACTGTTCAAAATTAAACATTTTAAATAAATTATTAATTTTTTAACGGTGTAAAGATCCTGGCCTTGCTCAAAATAGCTGCTGACATGTTCCCTAGAAACATCGTGACAGGCTCCAGTCCTAGGGGAAACCCACACAACGGTCCCCATAAACACCAAAAAGGGAACACCTCAATACCTTTCGGGGTATTAGAATAATTTCAGCAGTTCAGATGCTGATAAGGTGCAGAAATTAAGCAACAGGCTCTACAGAGAAGGGTTCTGAGAAAGCTCACGTTTATGAAGAGCAGGTGCAAGGCAGGTGAATGTGCATGACACAGAATTCCTGCTCCCAGATATCTGCACCCTCACACAAAGCTCGTCAGCAGCTGGTTAAGGCTAGCTGTTGATGAATCGTTAGGAATGGAGCAGAGATTGCCAAACTCATTCCATCTATTTTCTTTTTAATAGAAAGCATTTCTGACCAGTGTGGTTGGGGAGTCCAGCGGGAATCCAAGAAGTGAAAGGTCACCGATTAATTTATAGTCTTCAGCCAAGGGGGAGCACGAGGTTGGGGGCAAGAGGGGGAGAAAGGGAAAGGAAAAAAGACTCCCCCCCACCTCCTTTCTCAGTTGTAGCTGCAGGATCAGTCCTTTCCAGGGATCTTTAGGAATTATGAAAAATGAATCATGAGAAATAAAAAAAAAAAAGCCCTACAGAGTAAAAAAGAATAAAATTATCTAACACCTCAGCTGCACATCATTATAGAAAACTGTGGGCTTTTTATACGCATTACAGTAAGGCAGACATCCCCTCTAACAGACTCAGTACGACGGATCAGTAATTGTTTTCATACACTTTAATTAGAAAAACTCAGATGGCTATGAATAATAATGGAAAAGAGAGACTTTTGCACTTGAAAGGTTGAAGTCAATCAAGTGTGAATGACGGCAAAAAAGAAAAAAAAAAAAAGACACCAATTCATCAGCCCTCTGTTGTCTCGCCGCGACTTTAATCATAATTCCTGATTGGGATTCAAGAAGGCAGTAAGCAGAGGTTCTTTGTCTGCCTTCACCTTCCATCAATTAACTCTTCCCGAAATATAATCATCAACCTCACATGCTCCTCTGCATCTTAATCTGGGCCTCCAAACCTGTAAGTCTTGCCCCATATGTGTTTAAGTAATTACTTTTATCTACCTGCATCTTCTCATCTGTAGTGTCCTCAAATTCTCTGGGGGGAAAAAAAGATTTGGTATATAAAATTTTGATGGGCAAGAAATTCCCAGGAGGCAAAGAGGAATCTCCCTAAAGGGAATCCTGAGGATCTAGAAAGTCTGGTGGGGTGTATCTGCACATATGTCTCAACACAGAGATGGAGAATGGAAGCCTCCTTCCTGCACAGGCTACTGGAGGGGCCCAAGGCAGCCCTCAGACACTAAAGTTTCTGTGCCTTTGTTCACTTGTCTCTCTCCTCCTACTTTCCAGAACTTCTCACTCAAACTCTGCATGCTTTCTTTGTAAAGAGCCATAAATACAGTCCTGTCAACAGCTCACTGAGGACAAGGAGAGTTGGCCAAAGGCAGAGTTCCTTCGACATCTCCCTTGGCATCCCCCTCACCCCCTTGTTTTCTGGTCCTATATGACTACCAAGTGGCGTGGAAGGTTCAGACTCTCCTAGCCACACCTCTGATGGGTAGCTGAAAGTCACTGGGAAAGGCAGTCCCTCAGGTGTGCTGAGCACTGTTCTGTGAAGACCCTCCCTTTCACTAGGTGCACTGGAGCATGCAGGTGTGTGAGAGGACACAACCTGACTGCAGCATAACCAGAACCATCCCAGATGTGCCCAAACCTCAGACACCCTCAAATAACAGGATGGCACCACCTTCCCCTGCAGAGAAAACACATGCATGCATATGCTCTTTCCTCCCTCCCTCCCTCCCTCCAATCTCCCTCTTCCTACTTCTACTCCAGATTCAAAAGCCAAACGAAAAGTTTCAGATTTGGCCAGATGACAACACAATTGGTACAAACAACTGTACTTTCTCCATCGTCACTATTCCATCCATGTAGATTGATTTTTCTCATAATCTATACATCCATCAACACTGAATATGTTAAATTATGTCCCAAATACTCTATGTATACAGGGGACCAGAGACTATTAAAACAGACTTTTTTTTTTTTTTAGGTTATAGTATTTCACTGATTGATTTTGTGTGTGTGTGTTTTTAAATAATTTACTGTCAACTTAGCTAACATACTTTTAGCCTGGCCTTGGCCATGCAACAGGCAATTCCATGGTAATCTTCTAGATACCACATACGTTCCTGAGAGTCTTCAGAGTTGATGGGAATGCAGGAAAAAATCACCTTTGGAACTGAGGTAGTGACAGAAAAGTGGCTGTGAAATCTTCTTAAGTAAATAGGTCTCATATATACAAGAGAAATATGGAGTTCTGCTTTGATGCCAGAAATCTTGAAGTTGAGGCAATTCTCATCAACAATAGAAATAAAAGAGTTCCACACTGACACTGAAAGTCTTCAAGCTTAAGCAATTTCATAACAACTTAGTTGTTGAGAAAGAAGGGCCTCAAGTGACTCTGCTTACCCATCCATTTGACCATCATTCACTAGATATCGTACAGGGTCCCTGTATTGCACGCCTGTTAAGATATGGTGAGACAAAGTCCCTGTGCCCAAGAAGCTCACAAGCCAGAATAAATAACCTTTCAGAGATCATAACCTTAGAAAATCTGAGGAAGGCTGCAGATGCCTAAAAACATACTTTCACACAGAAACTACTACAGATAATTTCAGGAAATCACAGGCTCCCTAGAGAAAAATCCATGGACTCAAGTTAACTGTCCTTGAACTACCAGGAGAGGTGATATGGATTCATAAATACCTAGTTCCCACTTCTGTTTGGCTCACCATTGTTTCGGATTATGACTTGATTCTTTTCAAAGCCCCAAGGACACTCCTTATAAAACCCAGAGGGTTGGATGTGGGTCTGGCTGCCACTATGACATCTGGGAGGGACCACCGGTGTTTATTGTTTCTCGGTAGAAGAAGCTAGAGTTATAAGGAGCTCTCTCGCTTCCTGCTTTCTCCAGATCATGGATGTGGAATGGCCAAATAAAGCACCCTGAACAGCCAAGGGGTATATACCATGCTAAGTTCTCATGGGACTATCCATGCAAATTTACCACTCAAGGCCACCTTGTCTGACTTAGACCGATACAACCAACGTGTTCCACACGCTGGAAAGCAAAGATACTATCCCTACACCCTTGCCATTGCTCACCGAAGTAGGGGATCTTTCTAAAAGGTTCACTACCCCAAGTGAAAAAATACGTTTGACAAAACCTAGACTCCTAAGGAACCCTCAAATCTTTCACTTTTCAGTAAAAATCATTAGAATGAACCACCTCAGATAAGAGAAGACGGGAAAGCCTCAGACACAGGCATTCCTGATGCAGACCTGGCCAGTCTCCGCATCCTTGTAAGTGAGGAACTGCTTCTGTTAATACTGAAGTTCAAACCCAGATGCTTCGGGAGCTCAGCATTCTAGCTAGTGGTATGTCTGCAGGCTGCAGTGGGACTCAGGCTGCTCACTGCTCCTGCACCGGCCACCACGGGAGCCTGTCCACTGGTCTCTGCACTTCTGCAGCCAGCAATCCAGAGCACCTCCTGGCAGCAGGGCTTCAGAATTGTTCTCCTTTCCTTTACTCCCTCCCAAATGTGCCAGGCTGGGCACTGGCCCACAGAGGCTAGAGGGCCTGCTTTCTCTCTCTTTCTTGTTTCCTTTCTAAATTGTTTTCTATGTGGT